GTTTAGAAAGGACTTGAATTTATACCGGAAATTAACAAACGAGCAGATACATAACAATATGTTCAACAACTCAAAATGTATAATTCTGCTTCAAATACATAAACATGTAGTTATAGAAATCCTGAGTATGAGTCACCCAGTGAGTCAGCGGTAATTCTATGATGTCATGATATAAAAGACATCTTAGTTTACATATAATTGATTAATTTATTTTTGTGAGTGAATATTTTATTATTGTTTAGTTTTGTCATAATAAAAGTTAAAAGCAGACGATTCTAGGAAGCTGACGTCGAGAATATAGAGATTTTTCAAAGGCGGGTAGACGATTAAGTGATAAACATATAAATAGTGTGAGACTAGCGGAAACAAATAGATAGAAAATAGCAGAAGAAAGCAAAGTTACAAGCAAGAAAAAGTTCGGCGTGTAGCTAACTGCCGTAGTAGTGATAGGCCTAAAGATTAACATAGGCCTAACGTTTAATATGCTGGAGTAAGCCTAGCAGTAGAAAAGGAGATCAGAGAAGCGTGGTTCTAAAGTAATTGAATCAGTCGGAGTGCACTTTGACAAAAGGAACAGTAAAAAAGACCAAACAGTACTGAAAGAGAAGTAAACGACTGCGGTAACTCGCGCCACAATTGTAAGTGAATCACACACAAAATATACTAGTGCGATAGTAACAGAGAAGATAGTTCAGCTTGTCAACTGAAATTCTAAAGTAATTGAATAGGCCTAAGTGGACTTTTGACAAGATGAAGAGAACTATATACATAGTATTTATGATATGCCTATAATCTCTATACTGTGAAGAATCTGTTGTACATACGTTTAACTTGTTCCAAATATATATATATATTGTTACGTCTGTGTTCGTTTGTTAATTTTCCGTAGAAATTCTTTTCGAGAAACTTCTGCGATACAAGTATTTTCTTAAGTAAAACTAGTTTATTCTTTCTCAATTCAACATTGCAATACACTTAATTTCCACAGTCACTTTAACTTAAACACACGCTATAATTCACAATGATTCACGCACTTACGGTGCCTGCTTGACACGATTATCCGTGTCTATACCTTCAATCTCTCTATCTGCAACTATATTGAATTATCTATGTCGTCACTTCTCGCCGGTCTTATATATACAAAATAGAGGGCGTCTAG